TTGTGTGTTGCCTCCGAAGAGAAACGGGGAATTACAGCGTGTTCTATAAATAGAGCTCGTGATGTCTTCAGATGGTCTGGGCATGATCAGGAAGTCACATGAGGAAAACAGGAATTAAAGCTTGCATGCTTCTTTTCCATGCTGCTGCTGCTGCTGCTTCTGGTTCTAATCTCGAGTCATGCTTCCTTTGCGCTCTGCTGCAAGACACCAGCTCTACAATCAGGAAGAAGAGGCCACGTTTGCTTCCTCTTTAACCAAATTCTAAATCACATGTTACTGTTTTTTTGTGTCAGCATTAAAGGTGCCGTATACATTTTCACTGTCTTCAAAACTACTTCTGAACCTGTTCATTTGAAAGTTTGCAGAGGTCCAGAGTTCTTCGTCACTTACCTCATGCACTGGGAGCATCCTCATTACTCACCATGATGAGTTTAGAGCGTTTTTACATAATGATGTCACTTGAACATCTGGGTCCAAACAGAAACTTCACAGCTGTATTTTTAGCTTTGTTTTTGTTCCTTATTCGTCGAATAAGAGACAGTTTCCTTTCAGAAGTGTATGTTTAACCACAAACCGTTTCAGAAATGTAAATAGTGTAATCTTGCCTGACATAAGATGGTTTGTACATTTTGTTTCAGTTCTAAGTTCTTCAGTTCAGTCTCTTTGCAAAGGTTCTATATTACATTAAATGGAAGCTCCTGTGTGCTTTTAGCTGACTCCTTGTACTAATAAGAAAGGTGTTTTAATAATGAATTAAATAGGCAGATAACAGTATGTAGGTGTTGTGGTAAAAAATATGTATCTCTTGATGATAAATATTGAATCCACTTGTGCAGTTTTTGGAATACAGACAAAGGTTTATTCTTGTTACTAGGCCTGTAACGATAACAGATTTTGCTGGACGATTAACTGACCAAGAATTTATTGCGATAAATGATAATATTGACATTTTGAGACCAATTTGAACTAATGGCCATGGAATAAAAATGCAAATACACCCTTTCAAAGATCAGTAAACCTTACTTTCTAAATCACAACATCTAACACAGGAAGTGTAAGACAACCAAAAACAACAGGCCTAAATAAAACAGCCTTGTTAACACAGGACTAGTCTAATGTGTCTGACTCACAGCAAGAACGTGTTCACAAAAATACACTTGAATAAACCACTGTTGAACCAAATACAACCAAAGCAATAAATAAAATGGATTATTAAGTCTCTGTAAAAAAATTGCCCTTAAAAGTGATTTTAGTCGTTGTCTTACACTGAAATATAGTGGCCTCTCTCTCTGTGGCTGCTGCTGTGGCCTCGTCATTTTGGTCATTTAAGTGTTCGTATGAACCTGCTACACAGGATCCTGTTTCACTATGAGGGAGTCTCTGTCCTGTCTGGTATCGTGTCGGTGTTTTGTGGGATTTCAGTGGATTTCGGGCTCTCCTGGGGGCTAGTAGTGCCGCTCGATCGGGTTTGTGTTTATCGGCTGTTGGGGTTTGAGACATTTCTTCTCGTCGTTTGCACGCTCGCTGCATTTGACGCATGTGACTGTTAAACGAGAGGAGTCAGAGAGCGATAGAAGCTTCTAACATTCACCCTCTTTGAGAGCGAGACAGAGCGAGGAAAACAAACAAGCTGCAAATAGAATTTATCGCAAACGGAAAAGTTATCGAGCTTGTTAAATTGATTATCGTTACAGGCCTACTTGTTACAGCAGTTATGGACAGAGCCTAGACCTGCCCTGGACACAGACCATCTCCATTTCCCCCTCCATCTCACTCCTTTCCATCTCCCCCCAGAGACAGAAATACAAGTGACATACATATCAAACCAGAGTGGCTTTTGTTTCACAGACTTAATTTACATTTGAGTACAAGACAACACAGGGTTTCCTGAGGGTGTGGACAGTTGTGTCTTCTGAGCCTTTACACATGTTAAAGGTTGTATAGAGGCTTTTCCAAGGAAAGAGAAATATAGTGACTCCGCAGCTCCCTAAGTAGAAACGTCTCCTCCCGCCTCCTCCTTACTCTAGTAATCACGCTTGTTTACAGCCAGTGCGTGTTCAGAATCGCTGTTGAAGTTTCCTGTCCAGAGGTAATTTATCGACCGATGCGTCAGTCTGTCGTCAGTTGTCAGTTGAAAGGAATCTCCCAAGAATCACCTTAGTTTGGTTTCGCTCCTTTTCCCCTTCTGTTCTTCTTTCAGCGACCTCAAAAACGGACTTTCTTTTGCAGCTAACTGGTCGTGGATTCTTGTCCGCCGCCGCAACAAACATTGTACTAACTGCGAGGGAGCTAAAGTAAAAAAAACTCACCAAGAACCGCTGCATTGGTCAAGTAAATGTGTCTCTTGTGTGTGAGAAGCATGTGTGAGAAGCGAATGTAAACCACGTAATCCCAGCACAAAACGTAATGAGTTTAAGTGACAACCAAACAGCCAATAGATAATGAGGTAGCATCTTTATCTATAGCTGGGTTTCACGTGACGTCACAGGGCTACGTTTGTCAGCACGCAAAATCAGATGGAGGGCAGGAAGTGAACTGACTGTTCTAACCGAGAGAAGGAAAAGTGATTTTTTTAGAGAACCGAATATAGTCGTCCACAAAGGTCAGAAATGGGAAAAGCCGACAGAACAACGCCGTAAAAAGTGGATTACAAACCTGTTTGTGGTCGGGAGGAGCAGAATTTGCTAATGCTCGTGTTTGCAGTGACCACTTCGTCAAAGGTTTGTTAAAAAGATAAATTGTTTTTTGTGGTTTACCTAAACATAAACGAATCATTAACGACTAACGACGAACAACGTCTGTTGACATTAAATAGTTCAGATAGAGGTCACTGCCGATACACTGCAGTTTTTCCCCATAACGTCTATACACATAAAATAAGAGAAACCCTCACCCCGGCGAAGACCAAACCATAATCATCATTTAGGCGTTTTGCACCAAGGTTGAGGATCCATCCACTGACAAAAAAAGTTCTATGCCTCCAAACTTTTGTACGTCTTCATCTGTTGTCTGGTGTAGAACGATGTCTGAAGAGCGAAATAGTTCATGATCTCCTCTGCCTCGATTGTCGGCAAATCTTTTACTTTGGTTGAAAATTCTCTCATTTTCAATAAGATCAGGGTCACGCCCAATATATTTGTCGACTAACTGCTCGTACTTTTGCCTCGCTACTGGCTCTAAATCCTGACAATAAGAACTCTTCTCCATATCTGTGTTCTCCAGAGCCGTGTTTGTCGTGTTTGTCTTCACTTCCTGCCCTCCACCTGAAATTCACGCGTCATTGTGATCACGTGACTGAAACCCTCCTATTGGCTGATGTTTATCTGGCCCCATCATGTCCACAGCTGATGGATTTTCATTCTTTTTTTGGGGGGGGGGTCATCATAATTACAAGTGTGCTGTGTCTCTATGATGCTATCTTGATCTTTCATTGACAATATGAAACAAAAAAACAAACAACAAAATCCTCCATACAATCTTTAATGACTGCTCCGGTCTCAGGTAGAGATCACATTCATTCACACCAGGGGTCTATAAACTTGTAGCTTGGGAGTTACTGGTATGTCTCCACCGTCTTCCGAATAGCTCACCAAGGGACTTCTGAATCTCAATTATACGTATTGTGCTGAAAAAGTCAAATTTGATTTAATTAAATGCCTATAAAATGTGTAAATTTTTATGCCTGTCTAACTAACTAATAATGTCACAGTTCTGCCTTTTGTTTACATGTTTTCCCCAGTCTGTTCTGGTCCTCCTTTCCCTACAGCTGCCTCTCGTTCCCTAATCAGCCCAGCCTAGTCTTTATATACTCCTCCTGCTCACTCAGTCTTTGCCAGATTGTCGACCTGTTAAGACAGACACTCAAGCTCCTGAAAACCCTGAATCATAACCCCTGAATCTGATCTGTGTGCTACTTCTGCAATTCGGCGTTTCCCCTGTTTGTTGTCCCTGTTCCTGAGTTTACTCCCAGTCTATTTTTACTAGTACATTTCCCAGTCTTGGAATATTTTCGTTCACATTTAATATCATTCAATTCAATTCAATCTTTATTAAGAACACATGATATCTGGTTCTTAATATTAAAAAGACAATAGTAAGATTAAAAAGATAAATACAGTGCATGTTATCAGTGTTGGGAAGGTGACTTTTAAAATGTATTCCCCTAAAGATTACAGATTACATATCTCAAAATGTAGTTTGTAACAGAATCCATTAAATTACTTAAAGTGAGTAATGTAATCTGAATATTTTGGATTACTTGATTTGCTGTAGAGAAACAAAGACCAGGAAATCTTCACATAAGAAGTTTTGTCTGATAAAAGAAAATAAAAAGCCCAGACTTTACTGAACCAAATTAAAAATATTATTGATAGAAGAGGAGGAGACACGGTCCACACAGCATGATTTAGTCCTGTTAAATCCTGTTTTAGACCCAGTTTAGACCTGGTTTAGACCTGCTTTTAGTCCTGGTTTAGACCTGGTTTAGACCTGGTTTAGACCTGGTTTAGACCTGGTTTAGACCTGGTTTAGTGTCCGGCAATGAGTGGAATTACCAAACAAAAGCAACAAACAAACAAAAAAAAGGAATAGCCCAAAATGTGAAAACAGAAAAATACCGCTGTGTAATCCACTCATTTCAACCAAGTAACTGTAATCCAATTACCACTCACTGAAACAGTAACTGTAACTGAATACAGTTACTCATAATTTGTACTCTGATTACGTAACTCTGGTACATGTAATCTGTTACTCCCCAACACTGTCTGTATTTTAATTGTATGGGCTAAATTATGCTTAATATTTTCCTACTGTATATTTTTGTCATTTTGTAGTAAATAAATGTTATAATGTTGTTGTTACCTCCTCAAAAACATACCTGGAGTAGTGTTTTGTTTCATTATCTCCAAAGCTCCAAATGCTCTGTTTGGCGTTGTGATGTCATGAAGTGGTAGTGCTCGTGTTAACAGCTCCCTCATCATGACTGTTGTGTCTCCCTGTAGATACGAGTACCACTGGGCCGACGGCACCAACATAAAGAAGCCCATCAAATGCTCTGCTCCCAAGTACATCGACTACCTGATGACCTGGGTGCAGGACCAGCTGGACGACGAGACCCTCTTCCCCTCCAAGATCGGTACGAACGCAGTAGCATAGTAACACAACAATTACAGTATTTTCCGGGCTGTTAGTGCCTCTTATAATCCAGAGCACCTGTCATTAAATGGTCTATTTTCGAACTTTTTTTCACAAATAAACCGCGTGGGACTTTAAAAGAAACACAACAGTTGGATGGGTCAGTGGGACTTTGTTTGGCACGTTCACGGTGACTCTGGGCTTTGTTCAGTTTAGGGATGGGCATTCGATTAAATTTTCTTAATTGATCGTCGGGAGAATTAACGGACGATTATCGATTAATTGTTAATGGTTTTATATTAAAATGATCATCATTATTATTACTATCTGCACTACTACTCTGAATAAATAAATTCAACTTTACGACATATAAACCGTAACCACTCTAGAGCCACATCAGCTGTTTGACATTATAATGTGTTTAATTCAGATTTGTGCAAGTCTCACAGAAACAAAACTTAAAACCACATGGCTAATTTGCATAAACTAAGCAAAGAAAAAAAAAAACAGTTGTTTTGCACTGATGCGGCACAACTCAGTGGAATACAGGTTAGTGTGACCATATTTGCGTTTGTCAAAACCAGGACAGCTTACGGGGGAGGGGGGTGGGGACTCGTCATCGACATTGAGCGACTCTCACTTGGCAAAACTTTTTCATGTTTTCTGTGTCCTGGTGAACTTTTTCCCACTGGACACTGAAACATATGTGCTGCTTTGTACACTGTGCACATGGACTCACACTTGTCTCGACCAGAACAGAAACCATGGAATTTCTTGTACAAGTCATAGTTAAATACACATTTGTGGTTCGGTACGTTGCAGACTGACCCACTGTTTGTGTCTCGATCCTTCTGAGTGCAGAGACACATGTACGGACCCCCGTTTGTCCCCGGACACAGACTTTTGGTCACCCTACAGTACACACAGCAACCTACATTCGGTTTGTCGATTTAAAATGAATGTAATCGATGAAATTCTTAATGATCAATTAGCGATTAATCGACTAATCATGCCCATCCCTAGTTCAGTTGTGGCGTGTAGGGAGGGTGCTGTCTGGGACACTGGATTGTCGTCGTGTTCGCAGTGACTCAGTTGTTCAGTTGTGTCTAGAAGTGGCACATTGCACTCGCTTTTTCGGTTCATTCCTCTGTTCCGTTCCTCGTCGGCGTGAAGTGATGAGTGTGTCTGTGGGTGTGTTTCGCTGTGCAGTCGCTGTCTGCTCCGTGTGTGTTTGTGTGTTCTGTGAGTGGTGCGGCTTTGTAGTTTACTGAAGTCGTGTTGGGACACCCGAGTGGATTCATGTACTGGATTGTGGGTTGCAGTGGTTTTTTGATGGGGTTAGAGGCTTAAGAGCACGTCTAATAGCGCGGAAAATACGGTACACAACAATACCAACAATAAAATTCATAGTTTATCTTACACTGTACATTTGGGACGGGTATAGAAAGAGTTAAGTTGCTCATCTTTGAGCAGCTGTGTTTAAATGAACTATGTAATACTGTGATTTTAAATTCCATAAACATGACTGTGTCCCTCATGAGGTAGACTATTTTAAATCAAATACAGTTTTTACTGATAACAATTGTGCCGATTTATTACAAAAACACTGGAACTAGAAGGACTCTCTCTGATCTGAATGGTCAGTACCTGAACCCCAGCACCCATCATGAATCAGCCTCTGCAGCTCACTCAGTGAATTCAGGAGGTTCTGAGCTTTTACAACTTGTACATAGGTCAGTCTGTCAGGATGAGCAGTATTTATTTCAGTATTTATTGTGTGCCAATTTAGTTTCATTAGTGGGAAGATTTTTGCCATATGTAGGTAATAACAGGATTTGAGCTGTAAAATAAATAACTTCTATGGCTAATTATTAGTTCTTTCTGCAGCTCAGTTCTTTTAATGAAATTGTCTATTTAAAGATTCGTTTCCTAGAATTCTCCTGCTTTTTGTCACTGACATGAAGGAGTTTCAGTGTTATCATTTATCACAGTATTTTTTTTTCATACCATTCTTCATCAACCAAACAGACATCAACACAACAACTTTAATAATGAACACAAATATATACAATAATAAGATTTAAGATTTGACTTATTACTATTTTAAATTTTTTGTTTATTTGTGTGAAGTTTATAATTTGACTTCTCGGTTGGATATGGACAGCAGATGTGACTTATGTAAAGGCAATTCCATAATCTTACCAACCGTACTGTAAACAAGGGACAAAACCTGTTTAAATTACACAGGAATTATGATAGATAGACTAATAAAAATTGTTCCTGCATTTTTAGATGGAATTTTCAATTCAATTCTGTTTTAGAACTATGTTTTTGGACTTATGTAAAATATATTTAGGCAGCAGAGTGGTTGGGGCTCACACACCGAGCAGGATTTGATACTGGGAGGAGAGACACTTTTGGCTCTTCCTCTCCTCAAACTGCCCTGACACAGGATCTGCTGATCCTCCCTGACCAGTCCTCCTGTTAAACTGCACTGAGACCTTTGAGACACACAGTGGAAATGTTGCAGCAACATCAACTGCAACAGTTTACTGCAGCAAAACTTGAATTTCCCTCAGGATTAATAAAGTATTTGACTGTCTGTCTTATCACAGGTATTATCCCACCAAACAAACTTATAATTAGAAAATCATGTGAACGTGTCATCTGCACTTTAAATCTGGGCTCGACATTAACGGTTGTCCGCTGGTCCGGGGCAACTAAAACTTTTGTCCGGGCAAGTACTCTCCTCTGCCTAGTTGCCCGAGCGGGCAAGTGAAAATAAAGCGACACAAATCTAGTCCCCCAGTAATAACTATTTATTTGGTTGATAAACAAAGCGACGGGTTGTCCGTTCATAACGCATTTTTTTCATTTCCGTGAAAGGAACAGATAAGTCCAACCTTTTGAACTGCCACGAAAAACGGCCGCGGTGACAAGTGCTCACTTCATGCGCGCTGCTGTGCGCATCACAGTCAATGTTTTGTCTTTCCCACTGACTGTAGGCATCTTAAATAAAACGGACGTAGTATTACGCTGCCTCCTGCACCACAATCTTTGCCCAGTCAATCAAAAATGTCCCTTAGTGCGGACCGTGCCACTCCACCCCTTTTTTTGTCTCTCATTCTCATTCTACCGTCACATCTCACATATGTAGGAAACTTCATGACGCGTCGGAATGAAAAGCGAACTCAGGGCTAAACCCAACTCCAAACATTTGCCATATATTTATCAAGCCTACTCACTAATCTCAGTAATTAGTTAAAATGCATAGGTTATTATTATAGCCCGTGCTTTTGGGAATAACATTCACTGGGACGGTACCGGGGCGTCTCCAAGCGATACGTGCGCTCTGTGAGCGGGGCGTGTGTCACCGGAGGACCACGCCGCGTGACATTAAACCTGCTTCTCTACTTCAGTCCTCATGGAGCCCTGTACGTGCACACTCCCACATCGTACTGAGATCCATTCATAGAGAACAGTCCTACCTGTGCGCCTCCAGTGCGTCGCTCCAGTGCCACGCGCGTAAATCCCGTGTTTTCTTAACCTATTACGCAGCGACGAGAAGCGCGAACAAGGACCTAAATTTAAGCAGTCCAAACTAACTCCACAGTAGAGGACCGAGATATGTAGTAGTTTTCTTTATAAGTGCGCAAAGGGTATAGTTACAATTTATGTTTTTATGCAAATTAATGGCCAACTGATTGTAAATAAACGCACAACTGATTGTCACGAAGACTGACCTGCGCTTAAGTTTCGCTTTTGTTTCTCGTTTTCTGCACTTTATATAAAAGGCAGCGCATGGAGCATGTGCTCTTACTTTGATTAATAACTTTACGCTTTTTCTACTCGGAGGAGGACGGAGGAGAATTATGGAGAACTTTAGGCAGATTCGTTTGGATACATCTTTACGCACACGCGCTCCACGCTGGATATATTTACCAATGAGGAGCAGGGTTTTTGCGGAGTTTTGGTTCATATTATGTTTGGCTTAAATTTGACGCGGACACTGCAGGCTGTGGATTTATTATTACGCACTTTGGCTTTGAGACTCTATAAACGCCCCGCACTGGAGACTGGGTGTTTTCGGGTGGATACAAGTTTCACGCTGCACCTTGTTTCTTCAGCTCTTCTGTTTTACCGGTAAAAGACACACTGCACTTAGTTTGGACACATGTAGGACATGCTCAACATGTTAAACATGAGCGCTGTTTGTGCAGTACATTTGCGCAGAGCGCAGTACTGACGCGTGAACACCTGCACTACTGATAAATTGAAGTGAAATTAAAGTGTGTGTTGGCTTATTGACGCGGGCATTTAATGAAAGGGACCGAAAGTGGGCACCGAGCGAACTTTTGTTTTTTTTTAATACCAGTTTTTTTAGTACTTACCAGTACTTACCGGGCCTTTTCGGTCGATGCCTACTTGAAACAGAGTTTCGATACCCAACACTATCTGCGCAGACTATAGGCTCGTGCAAGTCCAGTTCTATGGTGTACTGGCACTAAAATATTTGGAATGTGAAATGTGCAAGTGAAAGTCGGTTTCTTAACCTGTGGGCGAGGGTCCAAGGGAAGGACTTATAAGGCTATATATTTGTGAAGCTCATGAAGCCAAAATTAACTTTAAACATACAGAAAGTAAATCAGATGTAATGCAAAGTAGTGTAACTCCATTACATATGAGGGACAATACTGCATTACAAAATGTTACACTGCAAAAGGCAATATGTATCACAGTTTCAGATTAACTTGCTCATTGGTCCCAGCATTGGTCCCAGATGACAGCAACCAGGACTATAGATGTTCTGTCATATTTATCTATAATCACATTAGTTCTAGTTGTCACCTGCCCATATGGGTCTGACAACCTGAGACACGTTGAGGCACTCTTAGATCTCTGAGTGGATACAAGAGAGAACAATTTAATGAGAAGACCAATGATAATCGTTTTCATCTCATATACATACAAATTTGGACACACTTTTTCATGTATGCTTCTTTTTTTCCCTCCATATTTACACTGTGGAGTGTAGTGTGAAATGATTTAAACTTGTTTTATATATTTGAGATTCTGCCCCACTCTCTCAAACCATTTAGTCATTGTGGTCATGTTATGTTGGTATTCATATGAAAAAAAAAGTTTTTATATGCCTGTGCTAGAGTTCTAGTCAAGACTGCATTAATTGAGGCCAAGACCTGTCCGAGACCTCAGGGTCCTGAGACCAGGACAAGACCAAGACCTCTGAGGGTTGAGACCAAGACCACAGCCCATCGAGACCAAATCATGACCATCTTTGTCATTTTTGACATTTATTTGGATTTTACAGTTATTTTGGCACATATATATCAATGTTTTTAGAAATCTATCTCCATTTTATCTGATAAATGTTAATTTAAGATTAAATTAAGACAAGCAAACTGTACTGTACTGAACACTGCCCTTTTTTAGACCCTCACCCACAGTTTGAGAACCCTTTCTTTAAGAAAACTTCCATTGGTATTTTACACAAAACTGCTTCAAAGTGAATAAAGTGGGTAGGATTTTTAAACCCGTTTTGTCAAGTTTCTAACTGGAGTTACATTCACTTGCTGGTTTTGCAGTGGGATTTACCACATTTACCAAACGCATGTCGTGACAAACATAGATGCATTTTGAGCACTTTTATTAGGCAACCTTCAACCACATGTAGCAGTAGTGCTGCTTTGTGCCAACAATGTAACATAAATTTGGATTCGTTTTAGTATTATTTTTCTAATCTGTGGGCATTGAAGAGGGAGCCCGTTTGTGCTATATGCAGGGAGGAGCGAGAGCGCGAAAAGGAGGAGCAGATGACGTGAGGCAGATGGGCAGGTAGAATGTTTTAAAAAGTTTATCCTGCCCTGTGATACATTCTGGTACGAGAGGGTACACGCTGTTGCGGACAAGGCACGCGCGCTGGGGGCGCTCCACACAAATGCACAGGCTGCAGCGAGACACCCCGCACGCCCCCGCACGCCCCCGCACACCGGTACAAGTTTATTGCCGATAGCAGTGGCCGTAATGAAATATGATCGCACCTGTCTAAAGTCAGACCTCGAGTCCGAGACAAGACCGAGTCCAAGCGCCTTCAAGACCGAGTCCAAACGTGGTCGAGTCCGAGACGAGACCAATAACTCGTGTAACCTCGCGAAACCACAGCCGTGCGTCAACGCAAAGGCGGTTCTACCGGCAGCTTGCAGCAGGAAGTACACGCGCAGCTCTGACTCTGTGTTTCTCAATGAGAAAGACTATCAAATTTGACTGGGCGCGTTTAGCCGCTTGTATCAGGTCTACAGTTAAACTAACAGCTGAACACACTTGTATTTACCTTCTGTACAGGCTGACCACGGCAAAAGCCACGATTTAAAAAAGTAAATTTTAAAGCTCTTATTAACAGTCTTTCTGGACCTGGGCCCTTTTACATGACACAGATCTGCCCCAGGAGCACGTTGTCCTGACGGTAAAGGCACAAATACAACCAAAGATTCATGCTCTGTGTATTTTGATGGGGATACGTGTGTAGAGTGTCAAAAAATAGGATGGATCCTATTTTCTGAAATCTACGCGTGCAGGACACGTTGCTCCATACGTGCGTCTAGCACCTGCAGTGAAGCCGTCCTCATTCACTTTCCATGCATTCTAAAAGTTAAACGTCCAAAAGTTGCAGTTTTTACGCTCGCATAGAGCGAAATGTACGTGCAGTCAAGCCAGGCCCTAACAGCTGAACAGACTTGTATTCACCTTCTGTACAGGCTGACCGGGGCAAACGCGAGGATTTCAAAAGCAAATTTTAAAGCACTAATTAACAGTATTTCTGGACATGGGCTCTTTCACAGGACACTGTGGCCATACCGGCTTGTAAAAGCCTGATCCCGTCAGATCTCAGAAGCTAAGCAGGCTGGGCCTGGGTAGTACTTGAATGGGGAGACCGCTAGGAATTCCAGGTGCCACAGTGGGTCGTTGTGTCCTTAGGCAAGACACTTCACCTGCATTGCCTAGTATGAAAGAGGTGTGAGCGTGAGTGATGGTGGTGGTCGGAGGGGCTGATGGCTCAGATTGGCAGCCTCGCTTCCGTCAGTCTGCCCCAGGGCAGCTGTGGCTACAGTAGTAGTTTACCACCACTGAGTGTGAAGTGAATGAATAATGAACTGTAAAGCGCTTTGGGTATCTTGAAAGACGCTATATAAATGCTATCAATCAATCAATCGACACAGATCTGCCCCAGGAGCATGTTGTGCTGAGCCAGGCCCTAAAAAAAGGTCTAGAGTACTACGACACTAGCCTGTGCACATGTTTAAAATTATATAATTAACTGAGCACCATTTTGTTTTTCCGGGCAAGTAAGTCTGGGTGTCGGACAAGTAAAAAATTATAGCCACTTGCCCGGTCAAGTACTTGTAAATGCTTAATGTCAAGCCCTGTAAATGTTGGCTGTCATCGCTGAATATTAAATGTTCCTCTGTGTGTGTCTCAGGAGTGCCGTTCCCCAAGAACTTCATGTCCGTGGCCAAGACCATCCTGAAGCGTCTGTTCCGGGTCTACGCTCACATCTACCACCAGCACTTTGACTCTGTGATGCAGCTGCAGGAGGAGGCCCACCTCAACACCTCCTTCAAGCACTTCATCTTCTTTGTGCAGGTACCACACCCACACACACGTTCATGTGGGGTTATGATGTTTACTTTACTTTAGCAGACATTTCCACAGTGATATCTGTGTATTTTTATACAGAGGCATATCACTCTGGTCAACCAAACGTGATCATGCAGTCAAATTTTTTTTTTCAGTGACACAACAGCAAACAAGGAGCTCAATGGTCACCATCATTTACACACCAATGGCTAACTGCTGTGCATTAAGACTGTATAACACACAAGTAGTTCTGCAGTTTAACACACTGCTCTTCGTTGTTTAATGTTTACATATTACTGCTCTGCTGCCATCGCCATCACATCACCATAGCAATGGGTGAACACACCTCAATTGCTCTGAGTAGAATGTAGGGAGTAGTTTCATAAAAAAAAAAAAAACTGAAATAACAAATATTTGAGACATTTACAGACAGTGGACAGGCTTTTCAGATTCACCGGTGAGACATTTCAGTTTGTACCCACGGTAAAAGTGCATTAAACATCTTGGAGCTGTGTTCTGTAGTTTTAACGCACTTTCTGGAGTTCTACGTCTCCGCAGCGTGTGTGTTAAAACTGTGTAACGCATGGCTCCTCATTGTTTAATGCTTATTTATTTCTTTTGATACAGACAGACCATGTGTGTCCCTTATTGGCTAATCCACCTGTCAATCATGGTCATCTGAACTTGGGGCCGTGCAGAGAGTGAAAAACAGTATCCATTCCTTTACACAAAAAAATAAGATAAGACAGAACTGATCCAAATGTATTATGGGGCTGTTACTTATCTCTGAAATAATCATAGAAGAACTTTGTGTAAATAAAAGTTCCAGGGTTCCCATGGTCATGGAAATCCTGGAAAAGTCATGGAAATTGAAAATGTAATTTTCCAGGCTTGGAAAAGTCATGGAATTTTAGTATCTCTTTCACGCAGCTATAGCTTTCTGTTAAGTTCTCATGAGTCTATTATGATTATTTCCCAAACCTCTGCACCTTTTGTTTAAAAGAGACGACAGTAAATGCACTGACAGGATTTTGATGTTCAAAAACTATAAACCTAAACCATAAGGTGAGTGGAAAGGGTGAACATTTCCTATTTATCCCTAAAAGTCTGATCAAGTCTACACATGTAGATGCCGTAAAGTCATGGAAAAATCACTTTAGGTCATGAAAAAGTCATGGAAAAGTTTTGACATTGTGTCAGTGAAAAAGAGTGGGAACCCTGAAGTTCAAACAACCAGGAAATTGTATTATTACATCAATTCATATGTCCACCCAGGATATCGACAGAACCAGTATATGGAAGCCGATATCCGATCCAGCTAATTTTTCAGTACCTGCGCTGATAAGTAAATGTTTACCTGTGTGGTTTTGATTCTTCCCTACATACCACCACTCCACACTTTTATTTGGAGACCACTTCCATTTCAAGATAGAAGAATTTTTTTTCTGAAATATTTGAAGAATCTAGTTTTTGATAGCCTTTTAATAGTCCAACTCTATCTTAACTTTTTCTTTCTTTTTTGACAGGAGTTCAACCTGATCGACAGACGTGAGCTGGCGCCCCTACAGGACCTGATCGAGAAGCTGGGCTCTAAGGACAGATAGAGCCTCCACCCCCCTCCGTCTCTCTCCGCTGTGCTACCTCTGACTCTCTCTGAGCTGTGTGCCTTCTCCACACTCTCCACACTCGCCTCGCTCTCCTTCTCATGCTGTACGCCTCTGAGCCTCAGCCTAGCGTCACTTTAGTCTACAGAACATAGTCTATTCTAGTACATTTCCACTCCAGTACAGTCAGGAGTTCAGTGGACCAACGACATTTGATATTTGTAGGGAAAGTCCACAGCTGTTACGTAGGGTACTTTGAATACCTTAACAGATTTTTCACCAGCTGTATTCTTGTAACTCATTTATTTAGTGCTTTCTAGTTGGCATATCCAACTTATTTCAATCTGAATTTAGAACGCGTTGCAATTTGAATTTGTTCTGACGTTAATCTAATCTGAACTCGTTTAACACATGTCCATATTGTTGTGATACTGTTAAAAGCAAGGGGTAGTTGGATCTAAGCCTGTAGTCGACTAAAGTAAATCTTTGTGGACTGAAGATCCTGCTGATCGATTGGCTGACTAAAAAGAAAGCCCTCAAAACTATTATGCATCTGTGTATCTGACCCAAACTGCACTCACATGAGTTCACCTGCAGGGGGAGTTCATGCACAACAACTATTTATGCAGAAGAAAGTACTAAGAAACAATGTGTTTATATAAAGACCGATTCAACTGGCGAATCATGAGTTTAATCAGACTTTTTACTTATAAATACCGAAAAATACCTGTTTTCAGCTGTTTCATAACTAACTTCTGCTGTTGCCCCACATAAATCTAAATAAAATGATTAGACTAAAGACTAAAGGATCACAGCCCTACTTGGGTCTGCAATCTTTCCCCCATGCATAAATATATACAAAAACAGACAAACACATTATCTTATAAGTGAGATTCTCCACATTGCTTCCTTTCTGCCCATAGATTAAACTGTACTGCCCATAGTTGTCCAGCATTGGCTTCTGTGCTGTTTCATCTCCCATCCAGGACCCTATGCTGACCACTGCCCCCGTACAAAAGCACAACTGGCCAGTGGATCCCCTCTACTTCTCTTTTATGTTTTGCACATGTTTCACACTCCCTGAACATTTCCAAAGTGAATTACATCATGTGGTGCATATTTGTAAGGCTATCAGACATATTGAATCATCACCACCCATCCTCTCACATTCCTCTGTTGTAGGGCCTCTAGTGCAGTGGACCCCAACCTTTTTTTTAATCTCATGTCCCCCCAAGCTTTGTCTCTCACTCCGAGGACCCCCTAACTCAGGTACCAGATAAAGAAGACTGTTTACCATAGAAGTATATTCAGTTATTACTATTCTATTATCTTTTTTTGTAAAGGAACTGTATATAGCCTGCACTTTTACAGTTTTTAAAATATATATGACCCTGTGTCTCTAGAACCTTAACCTGCAGATAGAGACGCATCCAAGTTTGTGTCATTCTCAGTTTATGGACAGGCCTCATGTGAAAGCTCAGGCATTTTAGGTTTAAACCAACTGGATTTGAGAATTGAAACTGGCAACACAAATGAGAGACTTGTGCCAGGCTTCTGCTTTCTGATTGGATAATCGTCTTGACAACCAAAGCACCAAATTGTAGCCACATTATATAAAATGTTGTCCAATATTTTTAAAGAATAAATCAGCATTAGAATGGTTATCGTTAAAGCTGTAGTTGATTTGAACTTGTTTACCTCGTATCTGGGGACAGAGAAAATGTAAAATCTAAGTCTTGTATACAGTTCCTTTTAATGATATTGATTTAAAATATATTCCAAATTAAAGATTTACGGTTAAGTTTACTATTAAGATTTTTTTTTAATTAAAAGACTATTAAGTTTCACTTTTTAAAAATCTGACATCATTCCAGATACTCCCCTTAAATGCTCCCATAGCCGTACCCCTGGTTGGTAAACACTGCTCTAGTTCCCCTCACATAAAGAGAGACCCCTGGTGTATGGACGCACCCCAAATATACTGCAATAATGCCAGTTTAACTTTAAGTTGGATTAAAAGCTCTGGTACAGTTAAAGGTGCTCTATGTAACTAGTGTCACTGCTAAAATGACCCTCAAAAACATTCTCCCTGTAGGCGGGTGAACAGATGAGACCTTCACATCTGCAGACCAGCAGACTGTTACATAGTGCACCTTTAAACACACATGCAAATCATATACATTTCCCACATTTCTACACAGATACCTTTAGAAGATAGATATATTTTCATACAGAGTGTACCTTAAACACATTTTACAGCGTCCTCTTAATCATGTTTTTGATAATGACGACAACAACAGCTTTTCTTCTTTTATTCGATGCAGCTACTACGTCCGTCTTAGGGATAATATATCGGTTATCAGTTATATGGGAGGATTCCCCAGATATCGGTCCGATATTGAAAACTTAGCTGATATTTGGTTTAGCTGTGCCCATGTTTGTGTGTGTGCCCATGTGGCATTGCCAGTCTGTCCTCAGTGCAGGACATTAGTCTTGACTTGTTTATATTCCAGATGAATACATTTCCAGATAAATAGATTTTATTATTTTTACAAAAGTGAATTTGTAAATTTCACTTGCAAATAACGGATATCACCCACGATAGCGAGGCAAGTATCAGCTCAATATCGGACCATCTCTACTTTTTCTCTCTCCTCCTGCCATGTTTACTGAAATGACTGCATCTCCTCAAATGAGCCACGCTGTTCAGTCTTCCTTTTACCACTTTACAAACCTCTGTCAGCTGTATCATAGATTCCAGTTTTCAGATATCTCGCATGACCAGCCTATTTTATTTCACATTTTTTAAAGATGTATTGTTTTTTTTTTCACTTTTGTTTATACCTGACACAGGGTTGCATTTAAAATTACATTGTAGAATTTGTGACTTTACTTTTTACTTTTTGTTTGTTTTTACAATTGAATAAGGAGCAAGGGCTTGAAATGAATAGTTTTATATATTTTCAAAAATGGTCCAATCTTCACTGGGCAAGAAACAAGGATGTACATGCTGCGTTCGGAATAGAAATGTAAGATGAAACAATCTGTGCCTTGGTTCTTGTACAAAGTGTGACATGACAGTATTGGAATATACAGCTTCAATAAATACACTGAAATTTTGCTGTTGTTGGTCGTCTCTTCATGTTCTTCATGTTTGTAGTCTGCTGTAGTTTGCACACAGGGCTGGAAAGGCGCTAATTACAAGTACATTACTGAGTACAATTCTAGCCATGTAATTGTAATTAGTCACATTTTAAATCATAAGTTACTGAGTACTGTGTAAGTCCTGCTTGTTTCTATGCCTTTCTACACCAGCAGACACACATAACCACTGCGTCACCTGCTCTAATTGACCAAAGCTAAGACTATGACTGAGCTTTAGAACTGCCAAATGCAGTTTTACACTTTTTTATAGATCACTTTGCAAAACTTGATTAAAAAGCTTCTAAAATTGCTTTAAAAAGTAGCTAGTACTCTGAGTAGTATTTTTCATGTGTATTTTTTACTTTTACTTACTTTAAGTACAAACTTGGCAGCAGTACTTGTGCTGTAAATGAGTACAAAAAGATGGTAATGAGTTCATTATCAAAGCCTTGATTTTGTTATATTAAAACAAAAGTTGCATTTTATAATATACATTTTAGCCACCCCCAATCTATGAAATAATGTTTGTCTGAATCTGGTGATAAAAAGGGAAAGAGTAAATTGGTCATATAGACTACCGTTCAAAGGTTTGGGGTCACCCAGACAATTTAATCTTTTCCATGAGAAGTCACTTATTTACCACCATGTAAAATGAGTAGAAAATATTGTCAAGACATTGATATTTTTTCCTTCAAACTTTGCTTTCGTCAAAGAATTCTCCATTTGCAGTAATTACAGCATTGCAGACCTTTGATATTCTAGTTGTTCATTTGTTGAGGTAATCTGGAGAAATTTCTCCCCACACTTCTCGAAGCACCTCTCACAAGTTGGATTGGCTGGATGGACACTTCTTGTGTACCATACGCTCAAGCTGCTCCCACAACAGCTCAGTGGGGTTTAGGGTGAGGGTGAGGATTGCACAAGGGTTTTCTAATCATCCATTGGCCTTTTGACGCAGTGAGCAAACACATTGTACCATTAAAACACTGGAGTGACAGTTGCTGGAAATGAGCCTCTATACACCTATGTGGATATTACACCAAAAACCAGACATGTGCAACTAGAATAGTCATTTACCACATTAGCAATGTATAGAGTGTATTTCTGATTAGTTTAAAGTTATCTTCATTGAAAAAAACAGTGCTTTTCCTTCAAAAATAAGTACATTTCTAAGTGACCCCAAACTTTTGAACGGTAGTGTAAATGTACTACAGTACACATTTAAAAAAATCACCTTCCTTACTTATCTTAGACTTTTATAATCGATTTGTTTAATCTAGCCAAATGTCCGTTTTAGATCAAAATTCTGAATAATTAAATGTATTTTTATCATAGCCTACATCTTCTGTATAGCAATGGAAATAGTTGACGTCAGTATAAAGGATTCTCCTAATTTTGAAAGCAAAGCAGCCTTGGTGTTTTTCACACAGAAGCAAATACCTCATTTATAGCTCACTGAGTGCTGCAAAACCCGTGAGTTGTGTAGTTGTGCACTCATAGCTATAAACCTTTATATCAGTAGAGAGCACTGAAGTTCTGATGCGAGAACTATTTCTGAGGTTAATAACGATAACATTTTTCACCTGCGATATGTTTTCACCCAGTTTTGACTTACAGGTTTCATCCATATTTTGTTCACCTGTTATCACATCAGAAATGATCAATTATCCAGAATGATTCATAATGTTTGTCTGGATATTTACATGTTAATAATGTAAGTAAAATTTCACTTTTTTTGTCCTTTTATTTTCTTTGACACGCGCCTGTCGGGCAAATCCGGGGCAAAGTGCTTGGATTGCGTGAGGCGTACGGAGGGTGTTTTTTTCTGGCACGTCAGGCTGGAGTCAAGTCACTTTAGTTTCATTTTAATTAAATCTTCGCCCGTACACCGCGAAAGACTCACCGACATGCAGTGACATTTACCGGACAGTTTCCCAGGGGCGGAAGGGGAACGATCTCGCATTGTTTTTAGTTTGATCTCTCTTTTTAGCAACTCTAATGTGCTAACTGCTAGCTGCTAAGCGGTGTTTGCTAACGGTAAGTGTGTTGATAATGTGAAGGAAACCGAAGAAGAGCAATCTAATCACGTTTAGTTTTGTTATAAAATGCAAAATAATCCCTTTAGTTCAAGTGAATGGTGTTGGTTACATTAATATAGGCTAAACAGACTAAAAACTGCGAATAACATAATAAGATAATATCTGCACTGTCTGTCTGCCTACACTTGTTGCTAACATTTTAGTGAAGAATTTTTCCCCTTTGGAGCCAACGGCTGAAAATCACAGCATAAAATTAAATATTTAAGTTTTAAAATATGTTAGGTTAAGATTATTTTTACTCTCTGCTGTACTATTAGCTATATGTTTAATAGCATATCATACATTGTCATAATTTGACTTGACAAAGTTACACATTAAACTAAAACCTTTAAATTGCACATGACTAAATTGTACAAAAAATCTAGTCTTTTTTTAGTTTTGTAATTTTGCCTTCCTTGGTCGTAAGAAAGATGTCAGTTAATGACATAGATAGAGGGACTGAGTTTGTGTTAGAAGTCACTCTACTTCATGTATTTTTGTACTTTTTGTTTTCTACTTTTCTTCACCAACTGTCACTTAACTGATGTAAAAGGTACTTCCCCAGTGAGAGTCAGAATTAGAAAAAAATATTAATTTGCCAAATGCATTTAAACTGTCCTGCTGTTTTGTTTAGGACATCACGTCAACATTCCTTGAAAACTCAAGCATGGCAGATGAAAATACACAGTTTTGTGGAAACTGGTAAGGACACATACCATGAGTGAGTCTATGATAAGGCTGCACTGCTGCTCAGATTGCAGAGGAATCTAAAATGTGTCTCTTTTGTAGCAAACATGACATTCCAGAAGCAAACTTTACCACTCACGAAATCCACTGTCACCGGAACATCGCCTTGTGTGACGTGTGTCAGGAGCCTGTTCCCCGGGCAGAGCTGCACACCCACAAGCAGCAGGAGCACTCCCAGGCAAGAGCAAGCTTTTATGAATCATCATTACTGTATGTTTTGTAGCAAGTCCTTGTGCCATTATCAGATTACCAGAGGGAACAGTGATAATACAGTAATAATGATTACAATAAACAGTGGGAATACTTTTGCTTTCATTTCAGGTTTCATGCAAGTGCGGCCTGAAGATTGATAAAAACCTCTTTGACGTCCATCAGGTATTGCTACTGGAATTCCCCTTGAATTCCATTAAATGTTTTTGAAAGGCACAAAAGCTGCTCTATATTGAAAGAATTTAATTGCAATAAAAAACCTACCTATTTGAAAAGAGGAAAAAATAATACTCGATATGGTTGATTTCTGGAATGGAGCACACATTGTTGGTAAGACATTTGGGAAATATAGCGACACTTTGTTCCACTTAATTTTTTTAATGGAAACTGATACGGTAACCTCTGATAACAATAAATAAATAGCATTTTAGCACTAACAATACTGAAAAATAGCATTTTTATCAGTATTGTTAGTCCAGAAGCACAATGCTGTGAATACCTCTGCACCCACCCCTCTATCTAGGCTTAGAACGACAATCTCTCACACATACAGTTTATTATTGAGAGGTTAGTTTAAGTTATTATATGGGCTGAATAAGCCCATAATTCAGGCCCAGGCCTTGGCGTACAGCTACAGGGTCACTGGATCTGGAACACACATATCTGAGTACCAAACTGTATGTGATAATGTTTAATATGAGTGTTTGGCCTGGTTTCAGAACGCTGAGTGTCCCCAGCGTCTGGTGCCGTGCCCATACTGCGACCTGGAGCTAGTCTTCAGTCAGTCTAAAGAACATGAGGAGTACTGCGGCACACGCACAGAGCCCTGTCCACACTGCAGGTGCAATGTGATGCTGAGGGAGCAGGCCATCCACCCTTTCCTTTGCGGCAGCCTCACCCCTCCCCAGGAGAGGAACAACAGCCGGGCCAGCCCTCCTCCAGGAGACCCCCAGCCTCCCGCGTCCTGGTTTGAATCTAACTCCATCAGGAACCACCTGCGAACTCAGGACCGAGGCCCCAAGAACAACAACATCAGTGCAGCCGAGAACTTCAACAGATATGCTCCTCCTGACTGGAAGAACTCTGGTCCGAGGAACATGTTGAACCACTGTAAGTCCTCAGACAGAAGGAGCGTTATATAACTTGGCAACATCCAGACTGATATTACACTGCTAATCATGTTAGCACGAATCAGGCTAATAGTGCTAATCAAGTTAGCACTGTAATAGTAAGAGCACTTCCTAATGAACATTATGAGTATTTGCTGGCTCATCGTGATTTATTACAGTGCTTTGTTGTTTATCTATCCGCTCGTAGCAAAAATTTATTATAATATATTGCTAAAAGTTGGCAAATTTGAGCCCTCTGTGCAATACTGCCACTGTTGAACAGCATAACCCTGATGTGAGGAATCACATCTATATTATGTTGTATTTTCGTAACAAAAATCCCAAAGAAAAAGGGGTAGGCTAGTGTATTTGCTTTGTGTGCCACTACTGTAAATCATATTGTACTTTAGATGCACATTAGTTTAACTTTGATAGTAAAACACATAACTCATGTCCAGTTGTTCACATGTTGTTTTTACAGTGCTTGAGGACAGTGACTTTGAGTCTCACAGCAGCAGGCTCTGGCCCCAACAAAACCTATTGGACGAGGACTCCTCTGGGCTGGACTACATGCTGGCCCTGAGCCTCCAGAGTGACAGTGAGACAGGGGCAGGGGGAGCTGGGGGGGCAGGAGGGGGACAGCCCAGCCCCTGGAGCTCCATCTGGGACCAGAGACCAGCCAGCACCTCAGACAGCTCTCCCACAATCTGCACCTCCTCCTTGACCGGCGGGGGGCCGGACCAGGGTTCAGCAGGTCAGACCATAGGAGGGGTTTGAGGCACAGGCTGTGCTGTGGTGTGCTTATCCAAGTCTATTTATGTATGCCTTTTATTGTGATAAGTTTGTATTTGACTTTCATTCTTCATTGTTTTATTTGTCGGCAAAGCTAATAGTTTGTGAATTTTGTCCACATTCAATGACATTAAACATGTTTATGCTCTGATCCTTGTTCTTCCTGTCCAGAGATCATGCTGCCCTGTGAGTTTTGTGAGGAGCTGTTTCCTGAGGAGGACCTCATCTTGCATCAGGTTTGGCACTTGTAGTTGCTCTAGTCCAGGGGTGTCAAACTCTTTTTGGTCCGAGGGCCGTATCCAACCTACTTTGATCCCAAAGGGGCCGGATCAGAAAACTCATGTCATATAAACCTCAAAAATAACAATAAGTTCAAATATTTGTGCAGAGAAACACAAATCTTTCTTTTACAAAATATTATAATATTATGAACAACCTGAAACTTTAAGAAAAATTCAAATTCAACACGATGTTTTAACATGAACTTGTATGCAAATAGGAATAAGTAAATTTTTCTTGGAAAATCCTGCACTCGGCTCCACTTTTCTCATGTTTTTCTGATGAGGGTGTCACGGTCAACAGTCAAAACGATCGTCCTTTAAGAGCGTTTGGAAAGAGACAAGTCTTCATTTGTGCTGCTCTGGTGGGAGGGGCCACGTACAGAGACACTGGAGACGCTGCTGTGATAAACACCACAGAACATTACCAATATTTTAATAGAAAATATAATTACAATATTTTAAGTAGAAAATCAGCTGACGGCCAGAGTAAAGGTCTTGGATTGCCGGATCTGGCCCCTGGGCCGTATGGTTGACACCCCTGCTCTAGTTCCTCCTGTATCATATTTGTAGCTCCTGTGAGTCTTTGTATGTGTAATACTTCAAATATAAGCTGCGACTCAATACTGGCCAGTGTGAATATGATGCTGACTTTCTGACATGGCCGTACTGTTCCTGTGTTGTTTGTCCACAGACTGGATGCAGTCCGGCCTCTGCCTTTGCCTCCTTCAGTAAACATGGCTCTTCTCCTCCCAGAGAGGACAGGACACCTCAGGACAACACCGGATTTGTCTTCAAAAGCCTGAGTCAGCCCAACCGTCTGACCTCCATGTTCTCCTCATTCCCCCAGTACCCCCGGCCCCTGTCCCCCTCTTACAGCCCCCCTGCCAGCCCACTAGAGGGAGACATACTCATCCCCTGTGAGTTCTGTGGAGTGGCTCTGGAGGAGGCTGTGGTCTTTCATCATCAGGTGAGCCACATTTCAACAGTATATTTATAAATATACATAAATGGGAAAAGATTTAATGTATTCTCCAATCATTTTTCATGAATATTTTTCCTGTTTAATTCGTTAATAAAACTGATCTTGATACTGCATTAGTGAAATGTTTTGGAAGGTTACTTTATCACCTCCAAATGGACTTTTTAAACTACAAATAATTCTGTCTTCACTATTGTGTTGTTTATATTTAGCTGCTTTGTTTATGGACAGGATAAATGTGACATGCGGCCCCAGACTTCTCTCCAGCTGAACAATATGACATCATCTAATATGAAACCACTCAACTCGTCTAAGGATAAATCTCCAGATTCTGCCAGAAGGATAAAACACCAAGGTAACATGCTGATCCCATTTGACTTTAAACTGTTCTTAGTAGTGCATTATGTAACTTTTTGTCTTCATGGAGATGTTACTTTACATCATACCAAATGAGATTAAACTCGACCAGGTTACCGGTCAGACACAAATGTGTAGGTATAACAGATTTTTAGTGCCTTTCAAGATAGCCAAAGCTCTAAATAGTTCATTGTTCATTCGCTCCACACTCAGTGGTGGTAAGCTACTTTTGTAGCCACAGTTGCCCTGTTGTAGAGTGACGGCTGCTAATCTGCGCCATTGACCCCTCCGACCACCACCATCACTCACACAGACCCCACTTTCTTACTAGGTAATGTGGGTGAAGTTTCTTGTCTAAGGACACAATGACAGTTTTTGTGACTGGCACCCCTGCTGCTTGTGTACTTCTGTGCAGTACAGTATGAGTGTGTTAATGTGTATGATGCTGCACAACGTGCCCAAGACAAATTTTCAGTAAAGGCACATTTAATTAGAAACGTGAAAAAGCAATAAGATTTCCATGGAGAAAAGCAGCTGGCAGATCTTTCACCAGAGAAGTTCCATGGTGCACATATGAACATATGTTTGAAACCAGAATGTGTGTCCATATACTTTCAAAGTTTTCACCTCTCACTGTGAAGCATCAGTGTTACTGTTAAAAGCTGAAAAAGTGCCTTCAAGTTAGCGGGGCATCAGCTGGACAAAAGCTGCATGTTGAGTTGTTGAACATTTGTCTTTTAGCAGACGTACCAGATGACTTTTTCCGATTTGACGAGGACACATCAGCAGAGGCCAGTGTGTGGCCCCCTCACAGACAACCCTCCAACAGTGACCAGGCTCCTCGCGAAGCAGACGTGAGCGCTGGAGCGGCATCTCAAAGAGGGTAAGAGGACTCCCACTGTTTTAGTGGTCAACTAGTCGGCGATTATTTTTTCCATTAGTCAACAAGACAAAGTATTCTTTCTGTTGTACAGTGAGACTTTTTAAAGACAAACCAAATAAAGGCTGAAATATGCTGTGAATATATTGATTAAAATGAGACATTCTTTATTCTTTTTTTACATTTTGATAATGCCACTGTTTACTATAGTATTGTCATAATACTAAAACAACTAATTAAAGTAAACCACAATGATCATTTTCCTCTTAAGTCTTTTAGACAATAGAATGTGATTTTCAGCATTAAATGGTAGTACTTTCTTTTCTATTCCCATGTGTCTTATATGTGTGTAATCCTCAGTGGTGCAGTAGGTTCATGTTGGTCCATGTGTGTGTACTAGATTATGTGCTCTTCTACTTGTTCTGATACAGCTCAACATCATTCTAAAGACATTCAGGAAAGGTTCACTTCTGTCCTGTTTTTTTAGTATCGTTACCTGCTCAAATGAGTATCTATTTTCGATACTAGTATTAGTATTGGTTAGTTCAGAATAGATTAGTTCAGCCTCGACTCCCCTTGTTAATAATAGTGCTTCTCTCTTCTCATGGTGTAACTTTGTGCTTGCAGGCGAGCCGAAAATAAAGAGGGGAGGGACAACCGAAGGACTCACGCCACAAAGGTACAGCCAGGTCAAGAGAAAGACATGTTTTTAACCTAAATTGGTGTGAGTTTTTATACTTATTTGATATATATTATGTTTTGTTGCAGTTGCCCAAAAAGCAGAATGAAGAGCCACAAGACGAGTGACTAACCCCTTTTTTTAATATAAATCTATGTCCCATATAAAAAGTAACACCTCCCATTCTAAAGAAGTGCCTGCATTATTGTCCTGATTACACTGGACACCAAATCACACACATATTCGGTTTCATCTTGTGTCTGCGTATTTTGAACGAGCAAGCCAACGTTTTCCAAAATGATGGCAGCCTAAAATGCCTGGGATCAGAGCTTTCATTCCCTCTCACAGTCCTGTCTCGTCTCGTCAGTGTTCCTATTCCACTCAAGCACTTTTATTAATGATCTTATCAAAAAGGGCTTATCAAAAGTATATGACAATGCTTGTTGTAGTTATTTACTAAAAATGTTATGGTTTTTATACTGTTACTTTTTTCTGTTTTTAAAAAATTCAGCTGTAACTGTCGTGATAAACATACATTCTATTTACTTGCAATAATGTATTTGTAACCTCTAAATGAATATATAAAGTAGGATTTCATGGATGCACATCAGTGTTTTTTATGAGGACCATAGCTTAGACCTTTTGGCACATGCTTGGCCTTTTGTGGAGCTATTCTAAATATAAAGTCTTGTGTTGTTATATTTGATTCAATTGTTATCTCAGTTTAAAACAAGTAACATAAAACATTAAATTTTAAAGTCTGTTCTTCAATGTATGTGTGTCTTATTTATGTTTGCAGAAATCTCACCACTAAGATGGAGAATTACTGAGTGATTATTGTTTTATGTTGTATTTGATGAGCGCATAAACCAGGACGTCTCAAGTGAGGGTTACAAGACAGAGCGAGAGGGGGAGATGTCCTGAGGGAAATTCAGGTTTTGCTGCAGCAACATTTCAATAGTGAGTCTCTGTGGCCTTTGTGTTTAAGTCAGAGGTCTCAGTGCAGTTTAACAGGAGAGCTCAGTTATTTTGTTTGAGGAGAGAAGGAGCCAGAAGTGCAGCCCGGGCGTCACAGTGCCCAAGGGGGAATCATGATGTTAAAACCTGAACTCAAAACACAAAAAGTAGGAAAACAGAACTGCTCAGTGTCTGTGGGGTCACAATATTATTTCCAAGATCATTGTAATTCTTTTTTGTAAATGTTTTTTAAACGACCCAAACCTGGAGATATATAATATTTTACTATTCAAATACACTGTATGACACGTGTCAACAACCTGATGAAAGTGAAAAGATGTATAGCACATGTCTATTTTTAAATAGCTTTTTGGCAAAAAAAGGCTTCATCAGATTAATGTGTTTCTTGCTTTGGACCAAAGTATACTGTTACTGCGTGCACATGCATCTTGGTTCGATGTTTGGATAGACTTGCCAGTTCATTTGACAGTTCACTTGGTTGACATGATGTTTGGTCAAACAAAGACTCACTACAGATGATCTCTGCTCTTTGTTGTTGGCTGAACGGATACAATTCTGTGATCCATGCAGTCAGTTTTCTGCAGTTTTGGTTGGAGACATCTTGTCCTTTTTTGGGTGCCGTTTACAGAATAGTTGAAAATGAAACAGAAAGAAAGGTGCAAATGCAAGGAACAACAAAATAAAATTGAAAAATGCATCGCATACTCAGATGGCTGATGTCCAATAGCTTTCTTAAATTTTCAAATAACGTTTTCAGCCTACAGTATACAGTATATTATTTTGCTGTTCCTTGCATTTGCACCTCTACAAGAACTTTGGTGTGCGTTTTTTGTTTCATTTAATTCAACAACCTGAATCATGGACAGAACAGAATAGGCCGGCCTACTGTAAATACAATCATTTGAAGAAAGACAACTAATGTAGCTGGGTTTCAGATGACATCACAACTTCCTCTAGGCCAGTAATATTTAATACAGATGGGGACAGCTAAAATGAATGTTGTTCAAATTCAGATTTTTGTTGTAATACAATGAGTTCTTTGGTCTATTCAGTAACAGAAATAATCAGGTTCAGCCTTTGTGCTGGTAAATGGTCCCATTTTTATACAGCGCTTTTCCAACTTCAAGCCACTCAAAGGAAACACTCACCCATTCACACACACACACCAGGGGCAAGGTGGGTTAAATGTTTTGCCCAAGAACAAAGCAACAGCATTCATCTGTGTGAGCTGGAATTGAACCACCATCTTGTGGGAGCAAGATTCAAACCACCAACCTTCTGCTCAGAGGACAAACACTCTTACCAACTGAGCTACTGTTACTCTGGCTATTTCATGACAAAGTACAATGTGATCTCTAGTGACTATTTGTCAACCAAAAACTAAAACAAAAGTGGTGAGCAAACTAAGAACTAAATGAGATGCATTTACCAAGGTTTATTCCAGGATTTTAACAGGCAAACAATGAGCAGACATGTTCAGGCCTAGACGTGCTGCCTCTCCTGCTGGCTGATAAAAACCATAGGTGACCCAGGTGCACTCTGGTCCTGCTGTACCTCACACAGAAACGGCGCTCAGGTAAATAATTAGACTAAATAAATTTGCAAACATAATATTAACAGCAAAAATGCATTATACAAATTACAAAACTAAATTAGTAAATGAATTGACACTGTCTGTAAAATGATACCAAAACATACAGGAAGACTGTCTAGGTTGGTTTATTACATTTGCTCTGGTAACAATTGGTCTCACTACTGACGAACAGAGTTTCTGCTGCAGTAACAACACTTAATTAAAGCCGCGCGCGGCGATGGTGGCCCTCGCCCCGGCGCGCACGCCACCCCCGACCGTAGAAGCTGTTTGAAGTGTCTTAAGTTGTAGGCAAAGTTCCTGGGTTCAGCTCGCCATCGGGATGGTTTTCTCAACCAGAATCACCTGGCCTGTGGTAAATAACAGTACCAGTTTTAGTTAAATACAGTTCGGGCTGATTGGCTATTAGCCATATCAATCGGTAGCTCTGCGATTAATAGTGCATTAGCTAGCTAGCTTAATTCGTAGTGTACACAATAGTTCAGTCCACACAA